GATGCTTCTGCTGCCCGAGGAAAGGAGCTCTGAAGAAACATTAGGGAGGAAAAAGCACCTGTGTTGGGCCAGATAGCCGCTCTGTTCTTGTTCTCAAAATGCTGTGACCAACACCGCTGCATTTCCAAGGATGCAGTCGTGGCAGCACTTATGATGTAAACTGGTGGGCTGTGCAGGTAAGTGCTTGTCCTGTGGATGGATCTGAGAGATCATCTTATACATTTTGAGTGTTTGTGTCCTGGTCTAACCTAATCACGTTAGTTCTGTACCCGTGTCATTGTCACTGTAGTGTGGTGGCCCTCTGGTGAGGGAGCTGTGTCTGAAGTGTGCCAAGCCCCAGGAGGATCTCCGAACCTTTCCTTTCTCAGACCTTGTGGCTTGGTCTCCTGGCTCTAGCATTGCTTCTCACTTTATTTCCTTCTTCTTGGAAAATAGAGCACAAAGGAGAATCGAAATCTGCTGCTGCTTGATAGCGCTCATCCTCTTCTGGTGTACCGTGTAGTTTGTCTTCCTGTTCCAACTTCTTCTACCTCTTGTCTGCCTTGTTATAAGATGCTCTGAGATCTTCCCATCCAGGGAAGGCACTTGTCAAAGGTGCGCATGTTTTTCTTACAGCTGTCCACAGCTTATTCCTGCTGTTCTTTGCTAATGGTTGTTAGGGGTAAGTTGCACAGGGGAGTTGTATGGCAACAGATCTTGTTCATGCTGTATGCTGGGTCCTTCAGGAGGTGCTGGAGAAGAGATGTGCTCCCGTGTGTGCAGACAGCCAACACCTGGTCAATTTTGAAACACTTTGCAAGGATGAAACCACATTGTCCACTTCAATCAGCAAGCAAGGAACAATTCCCAGATTGTGAGAATCCAAGCTCAGGAACTGGAAGAGCTCCCTTGAGGCCTTTGAAAAGGGCTGGCCAAGGACCAGCAAAATTTGTTCCAAGGTCTGATTGATGATTTCCATCAAGTACAGTAAGTGCTTATGGAAAGGCGTGCTCAATGGGAACAAGAGGTTTCTGCAAGCTGCAGGGGTGATGACACAAGCCTGTGTTGCTTGTGGGGTGAGCTGCTGGGGCTGGAGGTGCTGCTTTTCCAGCGTAAGGGTTTGCATTTTATGAAGCAGCACTCACTGAAGGATCAGGAGCTGTGTGGTTCATCATGCTGAGTGTCACTTTTGGTCACCTGAAGTTGACAGAAATTGTTATTGTACAATAAAAAATATGTTTTGGCACCTGCAAGAAATACAGAGAGCTTCAAGAGCTCCAATAAGTAGGAGAGGGTGAAGAAGCGCTGGCATGCTTACAAGGGACAGAACATGGTTCTGCTGATGTGAGGAGACAGGGAAAGTTGTATGGCAATGTGGGAAGCGCTCACAACTGCAATCCTGAGCGGTGGCATTCCAGGTCATGTGCCCAGTGGCATCACATCCTGTGCTTCGCAGGACTGGCAAGTGACCGAGGGGAGGCTGAGCAGCACCAGGACGGGTGGTGGAGGTGGGGATGCAGCACTGTGCATCCAGAGGGCTCACAGGAAGCCGGTGTGGGCATGGCTGTGCCCTGGGTGGCTGTACGAGCCTGGAGCCGGCCCTGCTGCTGGGGTCAGTGCGGGTGGGCTGCTGTGGTACAGGACCTGCACACAGCCCTTTTCCTTTGGCTGCGTTCAGCTTGTTCTTGTGTACCTTCGTCTGAGGCGAATGTCAGATGTGATGGGATGTTGGATTAGGCTAAATCTCTGAGATTTAGCTGGAATGTTGTCTCGCTGTAGCGTTTTTCTCCCTTGCTCTTTTCTCTAAAGCTTCCCCTACAGACAGCTAATTCTCCCCTTCCCCCACATCCTGTCGGACCCCAGAGCATGTCACAAGGAATTAGCTGCTGAAAAGGCCAGCGGAGGCTGCTCCTCTGGAACAGGCTCTCCTTTCTGAGCCCGGGCCGGCCCCTCTGTGTGCCCGCTTTGTGTCCCGGCCAGCTCCCCTCCCCCTGGCCATTCAATGCATGCCAGAGCTGAGGCTGGGCCCCGGCACCTTCCCAGCGCTGCTGCCCTGTGCCATCTTTCGGGGCCCAGGGGCTTCCCGCAGAGCCAGAGATGTGCCACAGGAGGAGATGAACCTTCCTTCCCGTCTCCGTGCCGCTGGCAGCGTCGCCCGCTTTCACTCCAGCTCCTTCCCACAATTCACATACAATCTCCTTAGAATAGAGATGATGTCACTTCCTTCTAGAGGGTGCAGGGGTGTGGAATGGGGAGTCACGACCCCCCTGGGCTTGGTGGCTCTGGCAGGATAAATGAGGTGGCTGCCCAGGAGGGAGGGAGGAGTTGCTCTGAGAACGATGCCCAGCACTGTGTGCAGGCAGGCGCTGTGCTGTGCTCCCCTTTGCTGGCTGGGATTTTCAGTGACTGCAAGAAGAATTTGCTGCTCCCTCCCTCACTCATGATGCCCGTCTCTGTGGATCTGCACTTTTCCTGCGACATCCTTACGGGAGAGAAGAATACCAAACGGCTAGACCACAGGCCATGTAAGATTTCTGCTTCCATCCCTCTCACTCTGAGCTGAGAGCAGAGGCTCTGGGCTCCTTGCATGCAGGGCTTGTGCCTGCACGCGTTTTCCCCCCCTCATTTCAGCACTGGGTCTCCTCGCAGCAGGGTGTAGATTTCAAGGTCTGGGGAATTTTTCACCCTTTGGGGCAATTTTGGGAGCACCACAAGGGATTCTTGGTATTACAGAAGTAGGGTCATTGTTCTCAGGGTTGGCTGCACTCTAGCCTTGCACTTTTCTTCCCCTCTCCCTGCTAGAGTCTGATCTTCATCTTCTGGAAATGTAACTCATGAGTTTATTCGCAGGAGGGAGGGTGACTTTTTACGTGGGCATGTAGTGATGGAACAAGGATAAATGTTTTTTAGTTAAAAGAAGGGAGATTCAGGTTGGGTTTGAGGAGGAAATTCTTTACCCAGACGGTGTTGAGGCTCTAACACAGGATGCCCAAAGAAGCTGTGTGTGTCCTATTTCTGGAGGTACTCAAGGCCAGGCTGAATGGTGCCCTGTGCAGCCTGATCTGGTGTGGGGGCAACCAGCCCTCAGCAGGGGTTGGGGATGGGTGGACTTTGAGATCTCTTCCAGCCCTATCATTCTGTGGTTCTATGATCTTTAAGGTCCCTTCCAGCCCAACCCATTCTATGGTTCTTTGATCTTTAAGGTCCTTTCCAACCCAACTATTATATGGTTCTGTGGTCCTGTGATCTGTTGCCCTGGAATGAAGCCAGAATTCTTATAGTGACACCATTGTAGTTTTTTTGTTGTTTAATTTTGTAGGCTTTACATTCTGAGGCCTTCTGTCATCTCCTTTCTGTTCAAATGGGTGGTAAGGCTTCAGACCTCAATGTTTAGTTTTTGCATAGGCAGTCTTTGGAAGTGAATCATGACTCTTTTTGCAGTGCACGGGTTGCTCAGTTAGCACACAGTGATGAGTGGCAGTCCTGTGCCCATTTCTTGGTGTTGCAGGGTTGTTGGTGGTGAGACTGGGAATCTCCAGATGGCCAGAGGAGCGAGGAGTTTGAAAGCAGAGCTGCAGCGTACCGAGTGCTCTGATTATTTTGTGCTAAGGAAATGCTAATCCAAATAACGTTGTAATTTCACATGTGCCATGTGTGTGGAATGGAACGTTTCCTTCATCCAGGTGAAGTACGTGCTGAAGTGTCAGCCTGTTTGCTGTGTAAAGGACTGCCGTTTGCAGGACTCAGGCAGGTTTTCAGTGCTTGGTATGGGAACAGATAGGTAGCACAGCAGGTTTTAGGGTGGTCAGCACAGCAGATAAGGGGAGGGTTACTACATGTGACTGGTGAATTATTTGGTAGGATGAGGATGCTTCCGTAACTGCAGCACTTGGTGCTGTGACAGACTGGGCTCCGTCACAAACCCAGCACCTGTGTTACTTTGAGGGTTTGAATGACCTAAGTGTGATCTTGTGATTTGTCCTGGTTTTTACACCTAGAGACGTGTGCAAGTTGAGTTTTTGGTGTGGTTTGTGAGGCGTGTGGGGGCTGTGGGCAAACAGGCCTTAGATAAGATAAAGGAAATCAGAAGTTGACAAAACCTCTGCAGATGAGGGTTGAAGTGTGTTGTGCCAGAAATGCAGAAGGGAGATAAGGTGCACTGCAGGGATGCACAGAGCTGGTCTGACCCCAGAGACTCGGGCTGGAGCAGATTGGAGCACGCACAGCAGCTCTGAAACAGTGTGGGAAAGCTGTGCTGGAGGAGGTAGCTGGGTAGCCCTGCAGTCTTGTGACTTCTACCACTGCTGTTTCTTTTTTTAAAAAGGATTTGTGTAGCTTTAGAAACAGGAGCACAAACAAAACGTGGGGAAGAACAGCCAGCCCCTCAATCTTCAACCTTTTTTAATTGTCAGGGCCAGTGTGAGCACAAAGGAGATGTGGAGCTGGCAGGATTCTTCTGCGCAACTTGTGGCTAAGTGAGAGATCACCTGGGAGTTTGCTCCCTCGGCTGTAAGTGCTTTCTGCTGGGAGCCAGTCAATAGCTTCCCCAGATGCTGCTAACTGCTAATGGGGATTTGGCTTGCTGAGCCTCGTGGGGACTGTCAGTGCTGGACACGAGAAGGGGATGGCAGCAGGCATGCCTTTGGAAGGACGTGGCAACGGGACTTTTTTGGGGACTGAGACCGCTGTAACTTGTCCAAAGCAGCTGACCTGTTTCTGACACGTGGTCCTAGCAGGATTCCTGTTAATCTCGAGAAGTGGAGCTGAGTGAGTGGCAGTTGTGTGCGGCGAGTTACATACCTGCTTCACCCAACACTTGTCTCTCTTCAGACAGCACCTTCCTCTCCTGCACTCTCCTTTTCGAGCGTGCCATGCCTCCCATTGCTGGGAGGAGGAAGCTCTGCCATCTTGGGTGTCAAGTAGGTTAGCTCAGATGTAGGCCTTCTGCTGACCTGTGGCTGTGGGGCTCTGTCGCAGGGGTGAGGAAGGTCAACAGTGTCTTTGCTTCTTTTCTCTTCTAGGAGGTGAGCATCGTGCCTGCTGACCTTTCTCAGACCCGCTAGCCATGCCAGGGATTGTCGTGTTCCGCCGTCGCTGGTCTGTGGGCAGCGATGACCTCGTTTTGCCAGCAGTCTTCCTCTTCCTCCTGCATACCACCTGGTAAGTGAGATGATGGTTTGAATTCCTCCATGAAATTCGTTCTGATTCTGCTTCTTGTAGCTGTAATTCTTGTGCTTACATATGCAGCTAAAAGGCTTGTATGGGCATTTTCGACAGCCACCAGCATATTTCCAGCTTCTGGTTGTTTGCATAAGTGCTCTTCTAAGCTCAGTTTCCAAAGAGGAAGCCTGGCCCGATCTCCTTGTATCCTCCTGTGCTACCCAGGATTGGAGTTTGGGCTGTGTTACTGTACAGGGCTCAGGAAAAAGCAGTTGAAATAACAAATTCTGGGCATCCTGATCTAGTAAGTGGCAGTCAGCCCATGGCAGGGGGTTGAGACTGGATGGGCTGTAAGATGCGTTCTAACCCAAGCCGTTCTATGAGTATATGATCCCATGGGATATGTGACATGGCATCTCTGTGCGTGTCAGGTTTGTGATCCTCTCCGTGGTGCTCTTTGGGCTGGTGTACAACCCCAATGAGACCTGCTCGCTGAACCTGGTGGACCATGGCAGAGGCTACCTAGGCATCCTGCTCAGCTGTATGATCACAGAGATGGCAATCATCTGGCTCAGCATGCGAGGCAGCATCCTGTACACTGAGCCCCGAGACTCCATGCAGTATGTGCTCTATGTCAGACTGGGTAAGATGCAGCGGCCTGAGGCCTCCTAATGACTCAGCCTCCACACTGCCATCTGCTAGCGCAGAAGACTTCTCTCCCCACACCCTGACAAACACAGCTTCTCAAAGACATCCAGATGGCCACTTGTATGTGATATGCATCTGAATACATCACATATACTGCACCCTGCCATTGCTCTAAGACTCTCATGCAGCGCCCCAAATATCTTTCTAGCAAACCTTTAACTTGTCATCCTTGTTGTGATGCAGGTACATCCTTTTCATCTAACAAAATATGCTCTCCTTCTGTCTTGCAGCTCAGATTTGCCACGGTGAGATGCATCTACACCTCTCTCCCACTCTTTTTTTCAACAAGTTTTCCTATGATACAGGCATATGCCTTTGTAAATCATGGCTGTTCTCACCCTGAGGCCATGTGCATGTCCTTTGCCTGACATATATATACTTAAATCTGCATCCACTTACCTTGCAGTGTGCTTGACCTTTTGACTCACACATAATGCATCTCTCCATCCTGCAATGTGTGTTCTGATACTCTGCCTCCAGGAGCTGGGAGGTAAATAAGTTTGCCACCTGCTCGCTGGTTGCATCTTCTCTCTGAAAGTGCATATGTTTTTTCTTCCTAAAAACATTTCCTGTTTTTCTCATCCGCCAAAAACTAGGTTGGAAAAGAGACTGTTTCTCAGTCCATCAGTCAGGGATTCCATTTTAGCTTGTTGTCCCTCCCCTGGTCCATTCTCTTCCAGATTCGGAAACTTGATCAGATTTTTCTATGCTGGGTGAAGACTTTAAGAGAATCTTTCAGAGATAGAATCAACAATTCCATTCCAACAAAAATGCTGGATTGTTTTCATGCAAAGTTTGCTAAAAGATGGGTAACTTTGCTTGAAAACTCTATCTGGGAGACATTTCCACCTTGGAGTGCTAAAAGCAAATCACTAACATGAATAGCAAACAAGTCTTTCTCTCCAGCTTCCCAGGCACAATGTGATCTCCCTGACAGCTTCAGTAACACTGTTAAAAACAGACTAAATGAGGCAGGGGAGGTAGAGTCTAAGGAATCATCCTGTTCTCTTCCCTCTGTTTAAGATTTGTATTTAAATTGTAACTTGGGTCTTGTACATGTTTATTTCATGGTTGTTTTTTTTTCTTTTTTTCTTCCCTCTTAATGGCTCTGGTGATTGAATTAGGGGTGTGACCTTTTTGTGGGCACAGTCCATGTGATAGCCTGATTTCAACAGAGCACATTTAGTGCTTATGAGTCTAAGGTCACAGTTGCAATGGTAGCCCACAAAGGTCTTCTCGATGGTATTGCTGCTCCTGTTCTACATCTGATAGCCTCAGAGGGGAGGTTAGCTAAGGTAGGCAAGCCTAGTGCAGCTCAGCTTCAGAGCACTTGAGGAGCTGGGTCCAGCCCTGACTTCTTTCTCACTGGGTGGCTGCTCAGTTTTCTAGGCTGGGCTCCACCAAAGGCTTGCTATGTGCTACGTGCAGGCTGTTTACCTCTGTCTCATTCCCCATCTGTACTTTAGGGTCATACTGTGTAGAGAAGGTGAGGATGGGCACTTCGGAGTGGTGTTTTCCAACTTTTTTCTTCAGCCGTAGTCAGGTGTAATTTGTTGCTCCCTATCAGGGTAAGATGCAGAACTGAGGAGCCAGTAAGGGCTTCTTTAAAGGCTGCATGTTGGGAATTATTGCTGCAAAAGTTGCAAAGGTCAGAGGTGGTGGAAACATTTGTTAAGTGTAGTAAGTAGACTTATTCCTGGGTACACACTGCTATTTATTGTGTATCTTTGAATTAGGCCAGCTTTACTGTAATGGTGATTCTCTTTACCTAAGGAAGTCTTTCCACTGTCGTGGAAGAAGGGACAGCTGTTTGACTGACTCCTCTAATGCAGCCAGGAGCACTTCCAGCTCTGTGTACATGGTCTGTGTGTCACTTAGGAGAAGTTATTGATAAGGAGACATGTTGGGCCCATTTTCTTGAATATGGGCCCATTCTTGTGGCCTTTTATTCCTTGCAAGAGGATAGAGAAGGGCAGTCACTGATCCTTAGGGAGATGCTGCTACTATTCATTGTGTTCCTTTTGTTTCAGCTATCTTGGTGATTGAGTTTGTGTATGCTATTGTGGGCATCATTTGGCTAACGCAGTACTACACTTCCTGCAATGATATCACCGCAAAGAGTGTCACTTTGGGTATGTATTTGGAACGTGTATGCACAGACATCTCTTGCCTTGGAGAGCTAATTCACTCATGCATGTGGGGATTGACTGTTGGTAGTGAATTGTAGCTGTAAATGCTCTGCTTGTTTCCCTCGAGAATCCAGTGCTCAGAACAGTTGTTCTATTCATTTGCTTGTGCTGCCTGCACTGAGGCAAGAATCCCTGTTCCCATGGAGGGGTCTGGCATGGGGAGTCTGAAAGCCCTGGTTCTCCTTCTGTTCAGAATGGCTTTCCTGTTTTTCTCAAACCGCTTTTGAGAACCCAACCATTCTCCTGGGGGGAGTGATGGGAATGCTGCAGCCCACTGGGTCTTCAGTGAGTCTTTAATGGTCTTCTGCACGAGCAGTCTCCCTGTGGCTGCATAATCTAGCCGTGGTCAGACGCCTTTGCAGAAGATTTCTTTGTGCTGCAGCTGGCTGCAGGAATATTTGGGTTAGCTTCTTCTGTCTGCCCTGTGGCAACAGAGAGGCGTGTGTGTGATGCGCTCAGAGAAGAGCAGGAAACAGCACTGCCAAGACCTGAGGGCAGAGCACGTGACGTATTCCCTTTCTTTGCAGGAATGGTGGTGTGCAACTGGGTTGTCATCCTGAGTGTCTGCATCACCGTCCTGTGCGTCTTCGACCCGACAGGCCGGACCTTTGTCAAACTGCGGGCCACCAAGCGGAGGCAGCGCAACCTGCGGACCTACAACCTGCGGTAAAGCACTGCTGGAACGGCTCCCTGCTTCCTGCCCTCCTTGGCATTCTCCCTGCCTCGCTTCAGGGAGCATTCACTTGCAGGTGTTGCTTCCCTTTGGGGAGGGTGATTTTGGAGGAAGGCGGCTCAGGCTGTCAGGTGCTGTGTGTGGGCATCTGTACTTAAAGGAGGCAAAGCAAGGCAGCGCCTGGCTGGATTGTGTGTAAGTCACTGGCTTTGGCAATCTTTTTTAGCCCCTGGAGCCACAGTGCTGATCACAGCAGCCTGTTTGTCCATCCTGTTAGCAGTGTTTAAATTTTGCTTAGGTTGAGCCACCTTTGTCCAAAGCCGCCTTCTTCTTTTGTGTTTATCTGCAAAATATGACCTTTTGGCCTGAAATTTCTTAAATTTGGTCTTGGCCAAGAAACAGACTCTTCTGGGTTGGCAGCTAGATGTTTTAATTAAGAATTGATTGCATCTTTGAGCTAACCAGATGGGGATGTGAAAGCTTTTTTCACCAAGCAAGGCATTTTCCAGCAGCTTTTTCCTGTAGCGGGACAGAACAAGCAGGCTTTGTTTTCTTATGCAGTTTTGACACATGGAACCATAAGTAAGGAATGTAACTCTGTAGGACAGAGGGCATTAGATTTTGAATGCTAAAAAATGAGGCTTTTAAAAAATATCATAGAATCACAGAATGGCCTGGGTTGAAAACAACCACAATGCTCATCCAGTTTCAACCCCCTGCTGTGTGCAGGTCACCAACCGGCAGCCCAGGCTGCCCAGAGCCACATCCAGCGTGGCCTTGAATGCCTGCAGGGATGGGGCATCCACAGCCTCCTTGGGCAACCTGTTCCAGTGCCTCACCACCTTCTGTGTGAAAATATCCTGCAAATTTTGCATTTCTCATTGGAAACGTATATGTGAGGGGTGTTCTGAATATGTGCTATTTCCGTGTCTTGAAGAGGAATCCTTCAGAACCCCTTTTTCTGGAGGGAGGAAAAGTGTCCAGATGCCTGCTTTTTGTTGCAGAATACAAGAAGCTTTGCTTTCCTTTTCTAGTATGTTGCTAACCCTACCCTTTAATATTGAGAATTATTGCCCTGTAAGCCTGATGGCTGCAATTGCTGCATTACAATGAAGACATTCCCAAGCAGATGTGGATGAAAAGCTGGAAGATGGCTCTGGTACCCCACAATAAATCAAAGCTGTTTGGCTTAATTCACATTTTTTCTTTTTGATGGAAGGCTGAGCCACAGGTTGCAAAGTTCTTTTTGCTAGGAAGTTTAAAGTGAGACACAACAGAACACCAAAAATGATCTGCCCTGGAAGTTTTGAGACCCCAGACAATTGAGTGAAGGTATTTGCCCTTGGGCCATGGCCAGGCTTTTTCTTCCAGGCCTGTAACGTTTTCAGAGAGCTTTTTCCTGCTGCTTCCAGATTTCTGCTGTAGGAAGGGAGTGTTAACAGATGTTAACTAGCAAAATGCTGTGGGCTGTAATGTGGAAGAGAAACATGAAATAATCCTACGTGGTTGCTACTAAACCTATTGCTTCCAAACAGTATAGTTTGAAATTAGCCAGTTGCTTGAAGCAATCCTTTCCAGGGAGTTCTGAAATTCTCTGCCTGCTTCTGGATTATGATTCTGCAAGATGCTGAGGGCCTGTTGTTTCTCTTGCATCCTTTGGTCAGCAGTGATAAAAGCCTGCTGAGCTATAGCGTTAATTTGGCATTTGTATCACCTTAATCTGAGCTGTATTTCCTGTCTCAAATCATGAAAGAACTCGATTTGGTTGTCACATTTAGGGGATGTGAACCTTCAGCTTCCTTTTTGTGGTTCTCTGCTGTAGCTATTGGACTGTGGTTTTCTTTCATCTGTGGCTTCTTAATGTGTGTGGGCTTTTATGTTCTTGCAGTATGAACAAAATAAATCAAACTGAAACAAATGGCTCAATTAATTGCGCTGAGACTTTTCTAAAAAAACTTGTTGTAGGACTCATCCAAAACATGTGGAAGTTCAGTGTTTGGAAGAAGGAATTTGGGAGAAGTCAGAGAGAAAATAGCTCAGAGCACGCTTGCTTGTCCAGCCCCCGCAGCGAAGTTGTGAAGTTCTTTGCATTGCTGCACGAGCTTTCTGGCATTTGGTGGAGCAAACAGAGCATTGCCAGCTCCATCTTAGGTCCCTCATATTCCTCTTTCACTTTTGGAATCTTCCTTGGAGGTTGTGGGTATTTGTTTTAAAATGCTCGGCCATGAAGCCCTGCAAAATCTCCTCTTTCTGTTGTAGGCAAATATTTGCTTACCAGCAGCTTTTTCTTCCAGGTGCAACCAACTCTCTGTGCTTGGGCTCTTCATGGCAGAAAAACAGAAGCTGTCTTTTTTTGTATTGAACTGACCTATGTTACGTTGCTCTGCATTCATGTGACGGTGACCCTGCATTGCAAGAACTGTGGACCTTATCCTTATGCAGGCAGCATGGCTTTCTGAGGGGGGGGGGAAAGTCAACTAATTCCTTAACGCTGAGCCTGTCTTGATCTCAGGTTTGTTCTGCAGGAATGCTAGTTAAGCAATGGACTGTCGCTCTGAAAGTGTAGTAACTAGGGCAAGTTCACAACAGTGGAATGAACTCAGCAATAGCTTATTTTAAATAGGGTTGTCCAATTAGCTAAATTTGAAGCTGAAATTGAAATGTCATATAAACCAAATGTGGGTTGAGTGAAACCTTCTGTATTCAGGCTTTTTTTTAACCTTTTCTAAATTGAAGGAGAACCTTTAGCTTTCTTCCCCACTTTTGGTTTCAAGTTATGCACCATAGTCAAAGAATGGAAATTTTTTCAGTTCTGAAACTGGTACATATCATAAAAATATTTTTCCAAGTAAGCTATTTGTTGGAAAAAATTGCACAGCTCTTAGTGCTAGTGCTCAGTCTTTGTTTTTTCATAAACCTTGCTTTCTTTTCTGCAGACACCGCCTGGAGGAAGGGCAGGCCAGCAGCTGGACACGCCGCCTCAAGGTTTTTCTTTGCTGCACACGGACAAAGGACTCTCAGTCGGTAGGTACCAAGAAGCTGCTGGCAGGGAGCAAGCTCTGTGTGTGGCCAGTGATACGTAGGACTCAGCAGAGCAGAGCAATGTGGGATTCCTGCTATCAAACCTGGACGTGCCTCAGAGCATTCTGAGGTGCGGAGCCTCGAGGAGTCCAGTGAGCCTTGACAGCAGTGCTTGCAAGGGCTGACATTGTCCTCCAGGAAGCAGCAAGCCGAGCCGCCCCTCAGGATGAACAGACTTCACGTTTTGCTCTATGCTGGTTCCTTTTCCTTCCTCTCAGTGTGAGTAGGGCGAATTAAAGCCTGTATTTCTGCAGGAGCTTACTTAGGTATCCTATGCAGAAATAGAATTATGGAATCATAGAATGGCCTGGGTTGCAAAGGACCACAGTGATCATCTAGTTTCAACCCCCTGCTGTGTGCAGGGTCACCAACCAGCAGAGCAGTCTCCCCAGAGCCACATCCAGCCTGGCCTTGAATGCCTGCAGGGATGGGGCATCCACAGCCTCCTTGGGCAGCCTGTTCCAGTGCATCACCAGCCTCTGAAGAAGCTGATATTCTCTTTAGATGCAGATGTAACATCGCTGGGGAGGACAGTTGACTTTCAAAACAGCCATTCTTAACCTTCCAGTTTTAAATATTATGGATTTCTCTCTGAGACAGATAACAGCTCTAAAGAGTGGTATTGTCAGTTTCAAGCTTGCCTCCAGAAGCTGCTCTTTACTTTGCTATTACAGCAAGCTGACTAATTTTAAGTGACGATACTAGTGGAAAAAGTATATTTTTCATCAATTTAGGTTCACCATTTAACAGTAATTTGTGTGATCAGTTTCAGTTTTCCTTTACTTAGTCAGTTTATCCTATTAGTTTGAGTCAGTCTTATGCCTGAGAAGGAGAGAGACTTTGAAAATGGAAAAATATAAACCTGCCAGAATCAGCAACAAGAATACTCCTGGGTACTGACAGGCTTTATTCGAGATGCTAGCAGAGCCTGCTGTTGAGTCTGTGGATTCAGATGAAGATTGAAGTTTTCACGTGCTACAGTCGGGATTGTTCCTTTGCAGAAACAGTGCAGGGTAAGGAGTTGATTTCACTTCCAAAAGATAGCAGCCCATTCATTCCTACTGAAAGTGGTGGGAGCAGGATTTCATGTTCTAGTGATATTCAGCAGGAGTCTTAATAACCTGGTAGAGGTGAACATTGAGGTGGAGGACTGTGCTGACAGCATTAATATTAAAGTTGCTCAGAATTATGAGTAATTGAGAGCTCCTGAAGTACCAAACAGAACCGGGGAGCTGTTATCAATGAGAGACGGAAGTTGTAATAGCAAAGGATGAAGCAGTGCATGCACATCTGAAGAAACAAATTACTTGCATACACTGATAGGCTGTGAATTAGTTACAACCTCTCAGGAAAAGAGCGAGGAGTTATCAAGGACACCTCAACAAAGACATCAGTGCACAGCAGTGGCCAAAAAAAAACCTTCAGAAAAACATGGAAGGACGTAGAAAGTGACAGAAAACATCAAGGGACTGACTGCATCAATGATCTCCTCACTAAATATAGTTTGGTCTGCTGAAAGGTGCAGGAGAAAAAGGAGCATATTGGAGGGGCTATGAACTTGTATAGGAAGAGAAATGAGTCTGGGATTTTAACCTCAGAAGGAAGAAGTGCAGTGAGATGAAAGCTGTGTAAAAATAATGGAGAGACAGGTGAAGGCTACCCGAACATGTGTTCATCACATATGGCAACCAGTATGACTTGAACACGAAGGCTTGTGGGTGAGCACGTTGTTATCCTCGGGGTGCAGTTGTTGTCGTAGCCCTCCTACAGAAATGCAGCCATGCGTTGTGGCGCTGCATGCTGGATGAAGTGCAGCCCAGCCCTGCTGACTTTCACAGATCATCTTCTAGAGCTGGTTAGGAAAATCCATCTGGAAAATGGCAATGAGATGAGCTGTGTGCTGTGGCAGCTCAAACAGCAGCATTTCCTTGGAGGCTGCATTCTGCCCATCAGCAGAAATACCTTGGGTTGCACTGCCTTTGTTTGCACCCGGCTGCCCCATTACATCACTCTGCCATATCCCAGAGCTCTGAGAGGCATTGAGTGCCTTGGTTCCCAAAAGCAGTATTCAGGAATGCTGTTGAGGAACAGCAGTATTCAGGAATGCAAAATACTTCACATTGTGTGAACTTTTTTTTTTTTCCAAGCAGTGAAATGAAAAATTCTGTAGTGCCTGTTGGATTCTACTTCTATTTCTAGTTCAGGATAAAAGCAGATACCAGAGTCTTCAAATTCCTTGTGCTGTTGAATTTCCACTTTAAATTCAGCTTGAGTGATTTCCAGGCTCTTTTCTTTGAAGGAACAAGCTCTGACTTTGTGTGTCCTGGCATGACAGTGTGTGGAATGAATGCGTATGTAATGGATCAGAAATGAATCCATCGCTGCCTCTCCCAGGCTTCATGGGGAAAAAAAATGTTCTAGCAGGGGATGATTGTCCTCTGAGCTGGAAAATAGAATTCTGCAGAGTGAATGTGGCACCAGAGCAAGAATCTGTTCCTGTGGGTCTGGAGCAATGTCTGCAGCTCTAAGTCTGCCGGCTGTGCCAGCCCCAGAGCCTCCAGGGCTTGTCACAGAGACCGACTGCAGTCAATCCTGCAACATCCCATCAAGCCCACCAGCAGCAACTCTTCTTTCAGAACAAAGCATACACTGAACTTTTGTTCTGGGCTTTTACTGTGAACAGAGTATTAGGAGGTGGTAGTGTTACTTTGGGTTAGCGTTGTTTGCCTTTTAATTTGAGGCCGTTTGCATTTCTTGCGTACTTGTAGGAAGGATTTATTGGGTCAGCATTTTGTGGACAGTGTGATTGTAAAGTTGGAAAGGCTGATGGGAATCCGTTTGCTCTTCAGGTGCACAGCTGGCATGGAAACCTGTGCAGTGGGCACCCGAAACCCCGTTCTTGAGCATGATGTAACTTACTTTAGGCAAGTGAAAAATGGTAAAAGGTAATCCTGCACTCCAGGAGTTTGCAGAGAACAGAAGAATGTAGGTCATTTCCTGCAAGCCTGCTGGGGGAGAAGGAATTGGCTTTCTGATCTGTCAAAGAGATGGAGAGATTCTGCCCTGAAGACCAGCCCAAGTGAACAGCCCAGGCTTTCTACAGATGGGACTGTAGCTGCGTGGCATTAGTGTTGAATAAAGGTTATGAAAATATTGCTGAGAATTCAGGTTTAGTCTGATAGATCTTGGTAGGAAAAGTTAACGATGGCAGCACTCGAAATATTGATCACCTGTGTGCTATAGCTTTTGCTCAATCCCACTCTGTTGGTTCAGCCTCCGGGTCACCCCAGTCTTTGAGCTCTCTGTTCTGAGCAGTGACCCAACACGTTGTCTCACAGTGCAGCCACTTCCAGCCTTCCAAAGCGTTCTCACTTCAGGCCCTATGTGTTTTGGTTTTTTTTTTTTTTTTTTTTTTTTTTTTTTTGTGTGTGGTATGGAGCCAAAAGGGAAATAACGTTTCTCCTCAGAGTCTGTGTCGCTCTGCTATAAAGCTTTAGATGATTTTCTAAGGTCGTTTCCAATTCTGTCCCTTCTTCTGCAAAGTCTTTGTTTAGAGGATTGGTCACTTTCCCTGCTGGGAACCCTCTGTTCAGTAACTTGGAATTGATGAACTTAGTGGTCTTTTGCAACCTTAATGATTCTATGGTTCGATGACTCGGATCTGTTTTCACAGGTTGTTCTTTTCAGGCCCTTTTGCTTGGGTGTGCTCCAAGACAGACTTGGAAAAGCTTGCTAACTTGCTCAGCTCTTTCAGGACCTGGAGCTCTGATGTGTAACATGTGCTTGTTCTACTTTAACTCTTTGAAATCATGTAGTAAACAGCACAGTGGTGAGCAGTGAGTGGTACAGAGGCTGTTCTCTGACAGCTTGCAGAAGTCTCTCGCTTTCTCTGTAATGTGCCCAGGATGGTGAGGTCTGACTTAAGTATGGAAATAACTCCAGGGGAAATAACTCCAGGACAGAGTTACAGAACTGAAGAGGCTATTAAATAAGATATATTTGGTGCATTTTTCCTGAATAGCCTTTGTTCAAATGAAATTGCTTTTGAGGAGAAAGGCTGACTGTAGGGTGACACTGGATGGGGATCTTTTTGGTTCTCGGCTTACTTCCTCTGTCTTACTTACACTGAAAACATTGTCCTTCCCTCCCTTTTTTATATGCATTCCATGTCCTGATGCTTAGGTGGTCAGCTTATCCGCACAGCAGACCACATAGTGCAAATGCAGTCTCAGCTGAGACTACGTGTGTGACATTCATAGAATCACAGAATGGCCTGGGTTGAAAAGGACCACAACGATCCTCTAGTTTCAACCCCCCTGCTATGTGCAGGGTCGCCAACCACCAGAGCAGGCTGCCCACTTTGTATAGTCAGAGGTATTAATAATGATTAGACCAGATGTGGTGTTCCCAGAAGGAATCCTGTGGATGTTTGGGGCTACAGAATTGGGGCCATTGCTGCCGCACAGGCTCTTGTCCTGTGTCCTGTTCTGAGGCTCCCCACACTCAAACTCCTCTTCCTAAAGCTTTTCTCTGTGGGTTTTGCAGGATGCCTACTCTGAAATTGCCTACCTTTTCGCTGAGTTCTTCCGAGACCTTGACATCGTCCCATCTGACATCATTGCAGGCCTGGTTCTTCTGCGCCAACGGCAGCGGGCAAAGCGCAGCGCCGTGCTGGATGAGGTGGGTGGAAACTTGCTGCCTTTTCTGGTTAGGTGATGCATACAGATTTAAATCTTGACCCTAGACAGGCAATTGGAGGCAGTTTCTGTAAAGTTAATAGGAAGAGTGGAGAGAAGACTCCAGCATCTGGGCAGAACTTCAGAGGCAACCTGAGGGGAAAAAAAAACCCTGAATTCCCAAACTATTCTGCCATTGGGATTTGTGGATTCCTAAGTGAACAGAAAAGTTGTACTTATTTTCTCCAGAGGTGGGGTTCAGACAGTGTTGGATCAGGTGGAAATCAGAACAGCAGAATTGGAACCAATTCAGGGATTGCTCAAGATGTTTGCAAGCTGTCCTGCCCCAGGTTACCCAGTTCTTTGTTTCTTATGTGTGGATTTTTTGTCCTGGTGTCACAGAGAATATTTTCTTGTTTGTGACTTACAGGCAAACAATGACATTTTAGCTTTTCTGTCTGGGATGCCAGTGACCAGGAACACAAAGTATCTGGATCTGAAAAATGCGGTAAGTCACTGGACTGTGATCTTGCAAACTCACGTGCTTCTTTATGTAGCCTGTATTCTTTTTTCTAAATGATTTCTTTTCTGCTTTTCTGGAATAATCAAAGAGATTAAGAATGGTACAATCAAATAACAGTACTTGTTCTTCTGGAGGCTTTGTTGTCTTTGGATCACTTTTAAAGCATTATCTGTCTGTCCTCCACTTTGTGGGAAGTAGTATTTCCACTCTGATGCTGAAAGACAATGTGAGATTTCTTACAAGTCAGAGGAAGAGTTGAGTGCTGCAGCCAGGAATGTTGTGCAGAGTTCCATGTAATGGTACCACCAGCTGGGCTTCATCTTGGTGAGGGCAGGGAGCTGCCTCGAGTGAGATGGAGCCTTCTTCCTTGGGCTGCTTCTGTCAGCAGTTCTCTCAGGATGGAGACAGCTGCAGTCTGTTCTATGTAAATTAAGCTTGGCTTTTCTTTTGGAATGGTGCTGTTGCAGCCCTTCACTGGGCAAGCTATATTCACCCCTCTTGATCAGATGATATTCTTGCAAGAGAGGAAAGACCGACCCAATCCCAGCACCTCTGTGAATTCTGTGATCAGCCTGCTTGCAGCTGTGCTGTGCTGCTCTGCACCTAATGCTAACTTCCTGCTTGTGTTCAGGCTATCTCTTTCTGCATAGGTATGTGGGGAGAGAGGTCTGCACGGCATATAGAAGACAGCCCTGGGGCATTTGGCCCCAGCCTGGCTTTTATGATCCTCTCTGTGCATCTTCCTTATGGCTTGTGCCCATTTGGAAGCAGCATCTTTACAGAGCTCATCTTCTTGTACTTGGTACTAGTTTCTCCCTGCCCAGTTAGGGTTGCGTGGGGCAAAATACACAGAGGTTGGCCTTTCTTTGCAGCAGAGTGTTTGTTACATAGGGAAGAATGGCTGCAGAACTAACTTGAAGCTTTGTTAAGCATCTAGTAAGTCCTCTCTAATCACATAAATGTGCAGTCATACTGGGTGGGGAGGGAAGGAGAGGATCTTACTGAGCATAATCAGAGTGCTCTCCTGCAGTCACCTGGAAATGCTGACAGTGTTTGCTGTCCCAGTGCTGGTAGAGAGAATGCTGATGTTCAGGGAGAAGGGTGCAGTCTCTAACTACAGTAGAAAAAGGGGAACAGGAGGAAATTGACATATGAAGAGAATAAGGCCTTTAGTGAGTCTCTTGTTTCTTTCAGCAAGAGATGCAGCGATACAAAGAGGTGTGTTACTACATGCTGTTTGCCCTGGCTGCCTATGGCTGGCCCATATACCTGATGAGGAAGCCCACATGTGGACTCTGTCACCTGGCCAGATCCTGCTCGTGAGTGGCCGTCCTGCCTATCGCTCTGCCTTCTCTCCTTCCCTCTTCCTTTCTGTTTTTCCCTGATTTAGAATCCTTTCTTCAATCAGTTTGCTTTCTCTGTCACTTTTCAGTTACTTCTTATTTTTTTCCTCTTCTGCTTTTTTGTCTTCTCCTACCCTTTCCATCTCTCGGTAACTTCATTCTCACATCTTTCTCTTCATTCCTTCTTATAGTTACTTATCTGCTTACCCTGTTAAATAAACCACTGTCATATTCTGTCCTCTCTGGTGCACTAAGGATCATGCCAGTCCTTTGTTTGGTTTGGATAACCAGTGGAGAGAACTCATCTGGCACAAGAGTGCTTTCACACCGAGTCAAAATAGCTGTCTCAGAATGCAGAAAGTAGATTTATCAGCAAGCCCAGTTAGGCAGAGAATTGACATTTGGGTCTTTATTAAAGCCTCAGTGAGACTTGGCCAGAGTTTGTGCTGCGTTCTCTCTGACTAATTGTTTTTTGATTGCCATGCTGTATACTGCTCACTTCAAGGCAGCAATGCTGTAGTTCACTTCAGGCTTCCATGTTAAATGTTAGCTTTTTAGCTTCTATAATGCTGTCATTGGATTATCTTCAGAGTTGAGCTTTTTGCCCTTAAAGAAGTAAATTTCTTCTTCAAACCTGCTAGGAGGAATGTCCTTCTGAGTCACTTTGAAGTGTATCATAAGGAAAAGAAAGGAAGAAAGAGTTTGTGCTTGCATTGTAGTTCTGGGATGATTCTAGACCTGCTTTGCTACTTGCTATAAGTAGATCTAATAAATGCTAGTTGCTTGCGTGTTGAAGCGGCGTAGGATTGTGCATAGTATCTCCTGAGGAGAGATCCCTTGGAGACTGGCTGCACTGTAGCTCTCTCTGGTGCTCAGAAGGAAAACTACATCTGATCCTCGTGCCGCTTTTGATGTGGAAATAGGAGTTGTGTGCTGTTTTGTGCAAGAGCTGCAGCAAATGAGGGAGATGACTGCTGTCAGGATGACATGAGTGTGGCTTGCAGGTTTTCTCTTCCTTTCCCTTACCTCGCTCCAGGCGTCCCACTTTAAAATCTGTCTTTTCCACGTTCCTCTTCTTTCCTCAAGGCTGTAATTTTTCTCTTCTGCAGGTGTTGCTGTCTCTGTCCCTCACGTCCCCGCTATGCACCCAGTGTCACCATTGAAGAGGATAATTGCTGTGGCTGCAATGCCATTGCCATCCGGCGCCACTTCTTGGATGAGAACATGACCTCGGTGGACATTGTTTACACTTCTTGCCACGATGCGGTACGCAAAGTCTGCAGCCCCTTCCTGTGTGAGGCATGCTCCCAAGGCCCCTCCCAGTGGGACTCGCATGCTTCCATCTCTAGTGGTACAATACAGGAAAACTTGATGTTTTTTCTGACCCTAGACTTTATCTCTCTGCCAAGAATTTCTGTCCCTTGGACAGAAATATTTGGCCCCCATCAGAAGCAAATGTTAAGCTGCTGTGCTTTCCCCGAGCAGGAGAATATGTGAAGGAGGATGTCTCATCAGAGTGTTACAGCAGTGCATCTCTTCTAGGTTTATGAAACTCCTTTTTACGTGGCTGTGGACCATGAGAAGAAGAAGGTGGTCATTAGTATCCGAGGAACTCTGTCTCCAAAAGTAAGTGCATTGTGCAGTGGCCTCACACACCCTTGGCTACCTTAGCAAACTTTTAGGATAGCCTGAGATTTTCCTGGCTGGCTGTTGGTGTTTGATTTATCTGAAGCACAGCGACTCCTTTCTTCAGGATGCCCTGACTGACTTGACTGGGGACGCAGAGCGCCTTCCAGTTGAGGGTCACCATGGAACCTGGCTGGGACATAAGGTATGTAAAGAAACATGTATTGTTTTGAGGTTTTGACTTCTAGTTATAGGCAAAACAGGAACAAAAAAACAGCCTAAACTGCTTGAGTTGTGAAGAGCGTTTTACAACGGCAGTGAAACAACTATGAGATGTAGAAACAAATAAGTCCTGAAATGATAACAGTTAAAATCATTCTGTTAAAAAAGAAAAAAGAAAAAGAAAAAAAAAAAAGGAAAATTACAGCATGCAAGTAGTAAAAAGCGAGCTGCAAAAAGGATCTGTGGGGACCTAGAACAAAATTGTCAGTGTCACTGAAATTACTTTCTCTTCCAACGAATGACCTTTTGAGAATTTGCAATCAAACCCTGACAGCGTCTTTAAAATTCTGTTGCAATGGGATATTCACTGCACCTCGTAAGCAGACATTGGCAGGGCTTGCATCTGTGTAATTAGACTGATGCCACGTGTCTGTGTTAGTGAGCAGGACTGGGCTGACTAAACCAATTCAGCATAGAGCTTACCTTTGCCCCAGTCCAGCAAAGTAATGGCACGCATGCTGAGTTTTAAGATTAGCAGGAGTTTGGCAGCCTCTCAAGGTGTAATGCCAGACTGGGAAAGGCAAATCCAAACTGGTGATTGCGTTTGTCGAAAGGATTGTGGTAGCTGCTGGGAAATGCTGCTGCTCAGGGAATGCTGTGGGTGATTTGGTCAGGGTCCCTTCGGGGCAGGACATCGAGCTCATAACTCCTGAGGGCTCCTGCTTTGTTCACAGTGTCCTTCCAGATGGCCTGCGTGATGCTCTTTGGCGCTGTGCTTCATCAAGCGAAGCATTAGAGGCTGATAGCTGCGTCCTCAGATGCTCAGCTGGGTATGGGCCTGAAAAAGGAGCAGTTACCTGAAAGTGCTGTTGGGACAGCAAGGATTTTATTTCAGACTCTCAGGATGGGGCTTTTTGAAAACAGTACTTTGTACTTCTTCTTTCGCAAATGAGTATTTCTTTCATTTCCCCCAAATGGGAAAGTGAATCAGTGTCGTGGTTACACAAGGCGTTGTATAGAAACAGAGATAAATGAGGAAGTGATGTGTCACTTAGTTAATATCGAGGTATCTGAGTCTTTACTTCTCATCTAACGTTTCTGAAGTGTTTTGTCTGCTGTCAAAGATAATGTCACTTGGTTTTGTGCTCCTTCATCTGATTCAGAATGCCTTTGCAGAGCCGTTGTGATAAGCAGTTTGTATAAACCAAAGGGAAGCAAGGGGCATTTGTTCTATTTCGAATCTGCAGAAAAGCTACTAATAGATACCTGTAGGAGTTGGATTCTTCTCTTGATCCTGTGGAAATATTAATGTGCCAGTAACTTATATGAAACATCAGATCATTCCCTGTATTTTGCACTGGATTTTTATTTGCCTTTTGCATTATGTCTTTTTCTGTTGTTACAAGTGCAGAAATACTGCTTTATCTGAAATTATTATAAATATTAATCTTTAGACAATAATGCACTGTTGATTTCTGAGGGAAGCCAAGAGAAATAATAGAATTTTGAGATGCAGGTCCTGATGCATTTTTAATGTCCACAAGTCAACTTTAATACAAAAGCAGATGAAGTACCTTGCTAACACATTTAATTTGTAGAAAAGCACTGGGCTGTTTGGGAGCTTCCTGTTAGTTGCTTGGCTTCTGTTCTTTTCCTTGCTGATGCTACCCAGCAGGCTGGGATGCCCTGTTATCTCCACCACAAGCCATGCTGCTTCATGTGGTGCCTATCAGACATCTGAGAAATGAAAACTCTTGATGTTTGCGTGAGCCTTCCTGTTGCTCCACTGGGACCACAGCTGGAAGTGTTTGATTGTTTGGGTTGCTGTACATGCCACAGCTGAAGTCTGAGAGGTTTCTGAGCTATTTTGGGCCAGCTGTAGGTAAGGTTTGTGGGTTGGTGTGTTTAAAAAAAAAAAAAGGAAAATAGGAGATTGTCGCAGCTTGGAGTGGAAATTAACCACAGCAAAATCTTCACTGCTTGAGGTAAAATACAATGATTTTATAATGGACTTCATTTAAAAATAATTGTAAGTAAGGGGCATGAATCCATGCTGAATTCTGTTAGCCTGCAGAGGACAAAACTCCACAGGTGATGATTTTATGGAGCTTTGGTCGCTGGTGTTCAGCCAGCCAAAATGACAGTGAATGGCTGTGCGGGAGGAAGCCCTGAACGCTCAGCTGTGCCAGCAATCCTCACCTGTATGTCAAACAGTCAGCAACAGCAGAACTTTCTTTTCTACCACAGGGATACCCTCTTTTGTGGGTTTTCCCATCTTGTGGAGCAGTTTCTTGCCTTCAGGCTGCAAAGCAATTCAGAATATTTCTGCCTTTCTTTTCCTAGATGTTTGGTCCATTTGGATATTTATACATGGGGTTTGAAAGTTAAGCCCAGGTAATTTTTTTTCTTATGAAACTCATGAATCCTAAATATGACTCTGTGGGGATAAGCCTCGTTCCATAATGTTGACATCACTGTCTGTATTAGAACATCCAGTAATCATTGAAAATACAGCTCTAAGACTGACAGTTGGACCATTAATAAAATCACTATGGAGGTAGATATGCTTTTTAAAAACAGGATCCAAAGTTCTTGTTAGAAATTTATATAAGTCGCCTGCCATTCACTCGTTAGAATCAGAAATGGAGACTCTTTTGAATGCAGCTGAAGCTGGCTAGCTGCTGGGAGCTGAACACAGGCCTGAAATACCATGGCATCTGCTTGTTTGATAATGACAGGGACTTTTTAAGTTCAGCAGAATTACCCGTGTTCCTTTTCTTCACTGGGCAGATTGGTGTTTGATATCAAAGGCTTTGAAAATTCCCCATTTCTTTGCTTTCTGAAGGAGACCATGCATTCTTTTCTGCCTTTGTGATTAAACAGTGCTCAATAAAATTCACTTTGTACTTAAACTGTTTGCAGGTAGGGGTGTGATGGAAAATAGCAGAGGAGATGGTCTTCTCTGGTTTGTGGCCAGCCCAGGCAGTGCGCATTATGCGAGGGCTGCAATCACCAAATGATAATTAGCAGTATCTCTGTCTTTGTGTTTACCCTGAGCTACATCACCATTTTTAGCCGTTGCAGTTCAGGCTTGTTCACCTCTGAATATTAACTGTAATAAAAGCGTAACCAAGAATTTATGCAACAGACCAAACTGCATCTCTCTTGCACAGAGTGAGACAAACCCTGAGTGGAGCAATCAGCTGGGAGAGTGGATAGATGGTTAGAACCAGGCCATCCATTTGTTTCCCATCTCCCAGCATTCCTTAGCTTCTAGGGAATAAAAACCTTTAAAAAATAAAATTCCATTAACGTCCTCGGTCAGCTGAATTCACTTAATAGTTGCTGACACCTCCAGTCATCAGCAGCTTTCCCACACAGATAGAACTGCCACTTTTTCCCTGCCTGGGTGTTTGTGCTGTCTCCCTGAACCTTTTTGGCTAGCTTTCCTTTGCAGATTTAAATGCAAGAGTGCAGCTCTGGGATTAAGAAGTTCACTTCTGCTGCTCCACTGCAGGTCTCAGTGTGGGCTGACCTACAAGACACACAGCCTTGCATTTAAGTTAGTGGTGTGGTTTGTGTCTTTCTCAGGCTTTAGCCCAAGAATCAGATCGATGCGTGCTGTCAGAACTTAAGAGCTGTTATTGCTCCTGAACACTTTGTGGCTCTGGTGAGCCAAACACGTGCCTCATGAAGCAGAGGTAGTGTTTTTCCTCAGTGCTGACACATGCTGTGCAGTACTCAGCTTGTCCAGCACCGAGGGCAGTTTGCTGCCTTCTCCCCCAGTGCTGATATGCAGCTGTTCATACTCTGTTCTCTTTTTGTTTGCGCTCAGGGAATGGTGCTATCTGCTGAGTACATCAAGAAGAAACTGGAGCAAGAGATGGTGCTTTCTCAAGCCTTCGGACGAGACTTGGTGAGCATTAGCTTTATTTTATCACCACGGACCGTACAGAAGATGAGGTTTCCTTCTATTGTACTAATTTCTCAAATCTCAATTCCTATCTCTCTGGCTTTCCAGACAGGCCTCTTGTTACTTACTCCTTTTTCTTCTGGGGCCTTCTTCCCAAGAGTACTGCAGAGCTCCTGATATTTTTTTCTCAGACAGGAAGTCCCATTTGGTGGCCATGCAGGACAGGGAACAAAAACAAATCAAGAGGAACTAAAATCCCATCTTGATGGAGATCTTCTATGGAGACAGCACTGGGATGTCACGCTGTGTGTCACCTGTCTGTGTGCACACATTTCCTTTAGCTCTCTATAAGAAGAGGACTCGAGAGAGGTGTTAAGATGCTTACCTTAGCTTGCATGTCAGTAATAGACTGTCAACCTCCTAGCAGAGGACGTTTTCTGCACTGCCTGATTCCCTGCTGCCAGATAGCTGTCCTTTTCTCATGCCCATAGAGTGCCTTGGCCTGAGCAGGCCCATGGGAAATTAGTGATAGTGAAAAAGAGAAGAGTGAAAGGCTTGATGTTCCGTGGAACTGGTGCCGTACCAGTTAGCGCTGCAGTGGCTGCCTTGGGGTGTTGGTAGGTGTACATAGGAGGTATGGAGGCACTGATCTTCTTTATTTGGTGCTTTATTCCTCTCTGCCTAGAAAAGGAAGGTTGGATTTGTTCAGTGAGCTGTTACTTACAGGGGTGTTTTCTTCTGTCCTTGCTGTCTGACGGGTAAGGGTGTGCTGGCTGAGTACTTAGGCTGGCTTCTGTGTGTGATGCTAGGTATCCTGTTTGGTTTTGTTCAGAGCTGGCTTGGATGTATGGTGGGTCTGATTATATGTAATGTAATGTAGTGTAACTAGCTAGGCCTAACTCACACAGGGGGCGAGAGAACTTGAGTAATGAGATGGAACTATGGCCTTGTGGTTAGGAAATGAAGCGCTGGCTGAAGCTGAACTTTGAGATATATATGGAAAAGTGAGAGAGCATAAATGCCATTCTGGGTCCTACCAAGAGTTCATCTAGCCCAGCACGTTCTTCTGTCAACTGCCAGCAGCAGGTTTCAGGGAAAAAATGTAACAAGTGGGATTCACCTCACTGGCTAGCATACATGGTGTTGACTTAGGGGTGCTGTTCGTAAATGACACAAAGATAGATCTTTCATTCCTGTGGCTTTTTCTGTGTTCTCTTTTTTCTCATCTTATGTGGAAGCCTGAGCACAGCTGCAGCTGGTTACCCAAGACCTTAGAGAGTAGGAGCTGCATTCTCAGTTCCTGTGTAAGCCCTACAAAGTACTGGCAAAGCTCTGTGATACTGCATTGAAACAAGATTGAAATTTCTGAAAATTAACTTACTAAGTCTGAGGCATGCCTTGCACTGTGACTTCTGAATAACAAACACTACGAAATGTTAGAGAGTAGTTTTGTCTATGAATTACTCAATTGATTGCCAGCTGCTGGGAACATCTAGATTTCAGAAGACTGTTGTTCAAACTGCAGGTTAGGATTTCTGTTTTTCAGCATTCACTAGCAATGAAATAAATGAGAAAAACCCTTCATTGCCAGAATCAGAGACCTCTGATTTGTGAGCCTGGAGCTGAATATCATCAGAAGGCTCATCAGATCTCATGTAACTCAACTTAAGCATATGTTTCATTTTTCTTTCAGGAAAGATCCAGTAGGTCAAGGACTGATTTGTGGAAGTGTAAGAGAAAATGCCAGAAGTGAATTAATTCCAGTGTACCTTTGGAAGAGGCAATAGTAGAGGGCAGAAAACTGCTCCCATTTCAAAATCTAGCATAACATCACTAACTCCCATTGCAGGAGCAGTTGGTTAGTTGGAGTGCGGAGTGCTCATATATAGGAACAACCTGCAGCTGGGAAAAGGGACGGATTTGGGGGCTTGTGAAGTTTCTTTCCAGTCTGACTTCAATTTCTTGTTTTGTTTTTGTTCTCGTTTTCAGGGGAGAGGAACAAAACATTATGGCCTGATTGTGGTTGGCCATTCCCTAGGGGCTGGCACGGCTGCCATCCTGTCCTTCCTCTTGCGTCCACAGTACCCATCACTGAAGTGCTTTGCTTATTCTCCCCCAGGTGGGCTGCTGAGGTAGGTGTTGGGTCAGGAGGTCTGGTGGCAGAGAGGGGGCGTGTAGCTGAAGTGGCATCAGATTCTGGTTGTGATGTTCTGATGACCAGTAAAAGCTGGTCTGTGCCCTGAGAAGCAGGCAAGAAAAAGTGTAGTAACAGTTGATGGGAGCTGAGGCTTGTGGGCAGCTTTTTTCTGTATTAGAATTTGAAGTTTAGGTTCCAGTGGCAGGTGGCCACTCCCAAGTATTCAGGCTTATGACTTTGTTGTGTGCTTCTGTAGCTCTGATTTAACTCTGCTTAGTGGGAAACACAAGTTGGGTGGACAGGGTGAAATTTCATCCCTTATTGTCTGTGCAGTGCCGGTGTGTTCTCCCCCCATCTTCTGCCAATAGGTGTCCAGAATGGGAGATGTTTGACCAGATGCAGGTGTCTGTATCAGATCTAGTTGTCAGGATTCCTTTTGCAACTGACAAAGAAATTGGCACTTGAAAGCACCTGTGGATTAGAAGCTTCCTGTGGTGGTTACTGCATCATGTTCCAGGAGTGGCCAAGGGATTTTAATCATCCTGCTAATGAATCTGGACATTAGCATGCCTTGTTGTGATAATACTGCTTAGTCATTTGTGGCTGTAGAGGCATTGCTTTGTAGAACTGTTTTCCTGGGAGTTTCCATAGCTTTTTGCTTAGAGCTTCCCCTCCCAAGATCCCCTGATAAAGCATAGGCCAAGCTGTACCCCTTCAACTGACTCTGAGCTCAGGGTGCCTTGAGCACAAGGTTCAAGGTGCTTCTGTCTGCCACACCTTTCTTGTGATCTGCATTGTGCCCACATTCATCTCTGGGTGAAGGGTGCTGGCCTCCATCAGTGGTGGCTGTTTCATAAGCGAGGTCTCTAGAAGGCAGCTGGTTGCAGAACAAGGTCATAGGGTGGAAGCCTCAATTCCCTCTTGTCTTGGTGCTTATGTTACTGCAGGAGGTGACTATCTTAGTTCTGTGATGGCTTTTTAGTCTCAGAGGCATGAAATACCTTCTTCCATAGTCTCCTGCAATTCCCAAAGGATAGGAGAAGTGGTAGGAGGTGCTGAGTGTAGAGTACTTCCTTATCCAAGTCTATTTGGAGCCATGTGCAGGTAAGGAAGAAGGAGTTGCTCTATTTGAGCTGCACCCTTACAGAGTAACGTTGCTTGGGGCATGAGATGTGTGTATCAGGCTCATCTTAGTGTGCAAGTTCTAAGGACCTTGAGCAGCTTGCACTGTGTGTTTATGATGCCTGTTCATTGTCTAGTAACCTCTCAGACAGCAGTGGCAAATTGGAATGAACTGCAGTGTGCTGCTAGTGAAACCCTGTTTGCTTCTTCTTGGTCCTGTTTCTCTTCCAGTGAGGATGCCATGGAATATTCAAAAGAGTTTGTGACTGCAGTCGTGCTTGGCAAAGATCTAGTGCCCAGGCAAGTTGAGAAGAGTCCGAATTCCTTGATGAGTATCTGCTGCTCTGTACCAGTCACCTCTTTCCAGACAGAAACACCCAGATCATACCTGTCTTGTTTCCTCATTTACCTGTCTGTGTCTGCTTCTCACTTGTCCTCCTGGTTACCTGCACCTTTTACCTGGACACCTACATTGGTGTTCTATATACCTTTTTATAGGCATATCCCTCTCCATCTCTCAGTCGCCTGTATGAAATAAAAAGGTGAATATCCAGCCTCTGTGATTGTACTCATGGTTGTACCTGACATGCCAGTGCCATCTTCGTGATTGTCTGTGTTACCTCAGTCCTCTTCACTCTGAGCTAGATGTGCTCTCATCACATTTTGTAGTGCTGCCTATCATCTCACACCTCTGAACCAGCTCCCCCATTCCTTGTCTTGGCATTCCTCACTGCTTGTCATCTCCTGTGACACATTCTGCTGAGCAGGGCAATGGGCTAGGAGTCAAACAACCCGGGTTTTATTTTAACTTCTGCCCCATTGTGTGACCTTAGACAGTTTTTGTCTGTACAGTATCAGGCATGTAGAGTTAGTGTAGGAAGAGTACTGTGATGTTCTGTATATCATAGAATCACAGAATGGCCTGGGTTGCAAAGGACCACAAAGATCATCTAGTTCCACCCCCCTGCTATGTGCAGGGTCACCAACCAGCAGAGCAGGCTGCCCAGAGCCACATCCAGCCTGGCCTTGAATGCCTGCAGGGATGGGGCATCCACAGCCTCCTTGGGCAACCTGTTCCAGTGCTTTCTGTTAAGCTGTAAAAGAGAATCTTGTATATTCTATAATGTTTTATGTTGTCATATAGCTCCGTGCTATCTTTCTTGATTTATCTGTTCTGTGGCATCCTATACTTGAACTGTTTCTTGTCTCCTTGTTTTCTCTGATTGCTCCACCACCCTCATCTGTTCACTGACTTCTTATATCTATGTTTACTGCTCTGATTCTGTTATTGCATTTCACACTTGTTTGTTGTTACAGTGGCTTCCTGTCGCATTTTACCCTGGTTACTGGTCCCAGGTGATGGCACAACTCACCTCTGAAGTGATCTGCGTTACTCTTGCATTCTTGTTTCTTTTATAGCGTAGTTTCTTATTGTTCTGCACTATATGTCTCTGCTGTCCTGCTCCCTGTCTGCTGTTCCCTGCACAGCTGTTATAAGCACATCTTCCTCTCTTCCCAGAATTGGTCTCTCTCAGCTGGAGGGATTTCGCAGGCAGCTTCTGGATGTTCTTCAGAGAAGTAACAAACCAAAGGTGAGAATGAGGATGAGCAGATTCTCAAAGGCAAGTGTCTGAGCAGTGATGATAAAGTTTCACTGTCACACAGCAATACTGCAGGCTTCTCCTGACTCCCAGATCTCCTCAGATCCACCATCACTGTTGTTTAGGTAAACAGAGGGATGATGGAAGCAGCTGGAGAGGACGGGGCTGAGAGAAACACTCTGCTTGCAGGCTGGCTTGTAACTCTATGGCAATTCTGGCTCATGTGCTGGGGGTTCATCATCACATGTCTAAAAAAACTGAGAAGGAAGTTTTGTCATCTGAGCCTGTTTGGAAGTCTGTGTTGCAGCTGTAGCTTTTTCTGGCCAGTAAAAGAAGTGATTGGTATCAGGCTGGGAAGTGCAGCATCTGTCTGCTTGTAGGCACTGCTTTGTGCTCCCCAGGTGGTGCTGTTCCAGGGTAAGTGGCCTGTTAATGTTTTAGAGTTAAGAAACGTGCAAAATTGTTCTTCCCTGGGTTTCCTTACCATTACATTGAGGTGGAAAGAACATCAGATTTTAAAATTGTTTCTAAAATTCTAAGATGTTAGAGAGATAATATCTGTAGGGTAAAAAACTGAGCGGATGTTGTTTCTTGGTAGAATTCTGTTTTGCTGTTGTTTCAGTAAACTTTTGACTTTTAGGTTTGGGTTTTTTTAGTGTGTAAATAAAAGCATAAGGGGAATTTTTGTTTGCTTAAGTACCTTTTCTTCTCTCCGTGCATTAAAAATTCAGATTCTCTTTACCTTGTTTGTCCTTGAAGATGTCCCATTGGTGGACAAAGGTGTGCTTGTTCTAGATCCCTGACTCTGCAAAAACATCCACATCAAGATTTTGCCACTTTTAAGGTTAAAATAAGGAAAGGAAAGAAGTGCAGGATTATTTCTCCTAAGGTTCAAACAGCAGGGACACAAACTCTGTTTTTTTTCCCCTCCTTTCTAGCGTTAAGCATTCAGTTCAAGTAAACCTATCGACAGTACATTGTGAGACAGCTTTTCTAATCTTTTGCTCTTCTCCATATTCTCCCACCTTTCCGTGGTGTTGGACAGTGGCGGATCATTGTGGGTGCTACCAAGTGCATACCCAAGTCAGAGCTTCCTGAAGAGACTGAGGAGAACTCGGTAACGAGCAACCGCCTCTGGACCCACCCCAGTGATCTGACCATCGCCCTGTCTGCCAGCACGCCGCTCTACCCACCTGGCCGCATCATCCATGTGGTGCACAATCATCCCGCAGAGCAGTGCTGGTGAGTTCCAACAGAACATGAATTCCCAGGAGAGCAGTCCATCTGTGAAGGAAGTGGCTTTTTTCACTGCCTTACGGTGGCAGTGATTGCAGTGTGAGGGTAGAAAGATACTCATGCCACTGTGCGGTGCTTTAGAAGAATGTGTACCTAATATCTCCTCCTTCTGTTTTTCCTCCTGTTGTTTTTTTCTGTCTCTGTAACCTGCTGTTTTGCATGCCAAAACACTGGCTTGCTCTTCCGTCCCCTGCTCCTTGTTTTCTCCTCTGGATCCCGACTCCTTTTTTTAGTTGCTGTGAGCAAGAGGATCCCACTTACTTTGCTATCTGGGGTGACAATAAGGCATTTAATGAAGTGATCATCTCACCAGCAATGTTGCACGAACACCTCCCATATGTGGTCATGGAAGGGCTCAACAAGGTAATATTGAGAATTGGGGTCTGAGGGTGGGGAAGTGTGATGCAGTGGACTGAGCTTGAATGCAAGGGAGGCCTGGGTTTGGGCAGGAAAAGCGTGGCATTGTGAGGTGAGCTGTAGGCACAATATCTACAGAGCCAAAACTCTGTGCGTATTGGAGAGCCAGGGATACTCTGGGTGGGATTTGGGCTTATTAATTCTCACTGCAAGAGCACTTCTGTGCCCTTACATGAGGTATTAACGTGAGGTTGGGTGGTGTGTGGTTCATCCTCCCAAAGCTGGCTGTTACAGCTTGCAGTTCAGGTGAAATGTTGTGAGCTGTGACAGCACTGGATGTCCATGCGTGCAGCTGCACAGGGTAGTTCATAAGTGTTGCTGCAGCCCCTGTTAGCCTGTGGAGTGTCTGAGTTTGTGTAGTGGTTGTGGAATGGGTCTCTGCCTCTAAATGACGATTTGTACCCATGCAGCTCTACCGCGAGTTTTAGCCAAGTCTACTGTGCTGTTCTGGTCTGAAAGCTGTTCCTGACAGCATCTTTGGTAATCTCCCCTCTCCTGGGTTCTCAGGGACATCCTGACAGGGTAGACTGCCAAAATATGTTCATTTAATCCTTTATGTCAAGATCTTTCCATGTGCTTGTAGAAAGCATTGGTAAGAAACACAGTGGCAAAACCAGCAGTTCAGAAGTTCTGAGCTGAGAAGAGTGAAGTTGCTGTCTCCACTGAAGCACTGCTGTTCCTCTGCTTGCCTTGCACAGGTCTTAGAGAATTACAACAAGGGGAAAACAGCCTTACTTTCTGCAGCGAAAGTGATGGTGAGCCCTACAGAAGTGGATCTCACTCCAGAGTTGATCTTCCAGAGTCAGCCCTTGCCTAGTGGACCCTCTGTGCAGGTTGGAACTGGAGCCCTAACAGTGGACAGAAGGAACAGCAGTACAAAGTAAGAATTACATCTTGGATTTCATTGGAGGACTGTTGGCATGGGGTGTGGATCCTCTTTTGGGGCTTTGTGATCAGTAGTATAGACCCAAGGACTGCCTGTATGAGACTTCTAATTAATGTGACACAAGACATGATGAATCCAGGAGAAAAAAAAAAGATCCCTTGTGTTGCTCAAGAATCTGTGAGTGCAGCAGGATCAGGAAAACCTAGGAGTTGAAAATGTGGAAGGTTCCTTTTCTTATCCAGACAAGTAGGCTTTTCCCTGGAAGCAGAAAAGCAAAGCTTGCAGTCTTGCAGCCAAATCTCTGTGTGAATGATGTGGCCAAAGATAGCCCATGGCACTGATTCTCAAAAGCTGTGAAGCGGTGACAGCCATAAGCTTACAGCACACAGACAGACATGTGAAGTTACTTTATGTAAAGTGACTTGCATAATTCTATAAACTGGAGAATCTGGGAATATGGATACGTGTTGGGCAGGGTTACAGAACAACTATAAAAGCAATGTAATGTGAGGAAAGAGCAGCTGGTGTCCTGTTTGGTTCTCGGGAAGTTCGCTCTGGTGGAAAGCAGGCAGAGGGAAAAGTCATGTTCTAAGTGTTGGAATCATTCCTGTAGGGAGTGGGTTTTTTATTATTCCTGGCTATTGGATACTGGCATTGTTATTCTGTCAAGGGCCAAAAGGTGGAGGTTCATCTAGGAGGTATACAAAGGATTGGTTTGAGTAAGACTTCCATCTTATAGAATACATAAACTGCTTCCTATCCAGGAAAAAATGACAGGGAGACTCCCTGCTGGTTTTCAGGTAGCAACTGAGGTTTTGCAGGAGAGCACAGGTTTGTCTTTTTGGTTTCTTTCTGTGCACATTTTTTGTGTTTGAGACTTATTTCAAAATAGAACATGTGACTTCTACCACAGCATTGCATTATAGAAGGCAAACCTGCAGACCAAATAGGAAAGTGAGAAGATGAGAGGGAAGGTAGTTTGTACTTGAAGATGGGAGGCACAATGAAAACAGAAAAACATTGTAAGAGGCATTTCTACCACTTCTGTAATCCAGTAAAGCTTTTTTTCTTTTTTTTTTTGTAATACATACAAGCTGTTGTACCATTGATAATTTTATTAAGTGGAAACTGTTCTGCTTATATTCTTGAAGTTGATTCCTGTAAATATTCTTGTTCTACCCTCTGCCTCCATAAGAAGGTGGAGGTGCAGAATAAGCTCAAGATAAGATTTCCTTTGCAAGGGAAGGACTTCTAGAACAGAGATCTCAGGTAGAGACCCAACAGGAAGCTGTGTGCACCTGGGTGAGGTGCTTTGAGTGATGCATGGCTGAGCCTCTGTGAAGTAGCACAAGTGAAATGTAAATTAAAAAAAAAAAAAAAGTCAGCAAATGATAGAAAAATGTTAAGGCTTTTGTTGCAGCAAGAGTGGCCAGAGACAGCAAAGGAGAGCTGAGATAGCTGAGTGGAAGAGGAGGCAGCAGCAGCTTGTGATGAAGACAGAAAGACAGAAAGCAGAAAGACAGAAAACGTGTAGGTCAAACAGCAGGGACAGGAGTGATGACTTCTGTCAGAGCAGACTGATTGCTTCCTTTAGAGGTGAGTGAAGGCAGAGTGGGAATCCTGAAGTACTGTTCTGAAGGGAATGGAGAAGAGGGCAGAGAGGTTTGTGGCAGTTGTTAAGGGAGGCAGAGTTCTAGCCAGATTAACTAAAGGTCAGAGCTAGTTTACTGCCTCAGACTTTCTCCTGGAGTTCTTGAAACCTCTTCTCAGAACATTACTGCTCCTGAAGATAAAAAATGCAATAGTGCATTGCTCTGGTTAGATCAGCGACACATGACCTCAGTGTGCATGAGGGAGTCTGTGCCTCAGGTTTGGTTTTGTGGCTGTTCTGGCAGCTTGTGGTTCCGAGGAGTGAAGCAGCCTCACGTTCTCTGCTTGTCGTTGCAGGAGCAAGTCCCATTCTGAAATCAGCTTGGAGGGGTTTTATGAGACAAAGCCACTTTCTCCTGTGCAGAAAGACCCTGTGGAGCTTCTTCTCCTGGACACAAAGGAGCGTCTGTCTGTGGAGCTGCAGGACCGCCGTGCCCCTCTGGCGACCATGGAGAGCCTCTCTGACAACGAATCCATCTACAGCTTCGATTCGAGGCGCTCCTCTGGTTTTCGGAGCATCCGAGGCTCCCCCAGCCTCCACGCTGTCATGGAGAAGGATGAGATGCACTGCTTTTATATAGACCCCGCTATCCCTGAGGAGAACCCCTCCCTCAGCTCTCGGACAGAGCTGCTGGCTGCTGACAGCCTCTCCAAGCACTCCCAGGAGACTCAGGCTCCCGACAACGCACTCAACAGCGGTGGCACCACCCCTCAGCGGCGCTGCAGTGAGGAAGGGGCCAGCAGCGAGGGGGACCGCGTTTCCTTAGCCCCTCGTGAGGAGCTGTCCCTCCAGAATGGACGGCTCACCGATGTCCCCAGTCCGCAGGTGCTGGAATTTGCTGAGTTCATAGACAGCCTCTTTAATTTGGATAGCAAAAGCAGCTCTTTCCAGGACATCTACTGCATGATGGTATCAGATAGCTCCAGTGACTTTGTGGAGATGCCCAAGTCTGTTAGTGATCAGGAGATCCTGTTGAGAGCACAGTATGAACCCAACTTAGTCCCAAAGCCCCCGAGGTTGTTTGCAGGCTCAACAGATCCTTCGTCGGGCATCTCTGTCTCACCTTCCTTCCCCCTTAGTTCATCTGGAGAGCTCATGGACATCACTCCCACAGGCGTGAGCAGCCAGGAGTGCTTGGCCACTGACAAAATCCGGACTTCCACCCCCACTGGGCACGTAACCAGCCCTGCCAAGCAGGAGGACCTCATGATTTCAGCCCTCTAGTGCAGGGTAAAGGGGTGCGGCTCTGAGAGCTGATCCCATAGGCTGAGTGCTGGGATAATACTCGGAGAGGAGGTGGTCGTCAGGCAGTTGGAATTGGTGGAGACAGCTGGAAACATTCCTTCTGGGGTGACACGGTGGTGGCACGCCGTCTGGAGGATGGATTGTGCTCAAGTACCATGCTTATTGCTGGGAGAAGCATTGCCTCACAAGGCCTGCTACACTGAGAGGGTCTGAGTCACTAAAGGTAGATGCAAGTTCCCTACCTCAGCCTGTCTCATTCCATGTAAGAGGCAGATTCCTTGCCCCAGGGCACCTGCTGAGTTTGGGAGTAAGATACCCTGCTCCAGGGAATTCTCAAGGGCAAAGGGGTAGAAGTTTGAGAGTTGGATAGGCCAGATTCCCGCCTCTCCCCTCCCTTGGTAACATTTCAGTGGTTTTGGAAATGAACGGATTGAGACTTTGGGCCCTGTTGCACTACCATGTCAGATCTGGCCCAAGATCCAATTCGTCACAGTTCCATGGGGATTGCCTTCCTGGGACACTCTCCTCTTTTAAAGCCATTGGGGCTGTATTCTCCCCAAATGCAGTCTCCCCTTCCCTGGCCAGGTGCAGCAAGAATTGGGCTGGCACTGTGTTATCTCTCCCCTGAGTACTTCTGTGTTCAATGACTGCCAGGCTGCTCCTGAGAGGAACGGAAACTGCTCTGAAAAGCCCAAAGCCCTCTGCCATGTCTCTCCTACATCAGAAAAGGTTCTCCTGGACATCACCGTCATCACTCGGTGGCCTGGACTGCTCTGAGCTGGCGATGCTTCTGCAGGACTGACAGCATTCTCATCTCAGAGCTGCACGGATGGATCGACTTAGATTCAAATGGCTCGTCGACACCCAGCGTTGCTTCCTAGGCACTCTAGGATTCCCTCCTGGACCCTGCCAGGTCCTCATGCTACCCATATGCAGTCATCACAGATCAGTGCCAGCCGCTGTCATTGGGAGTTCAGGGAAAAGATGAACTTTTACTAAGTATTGGAACCTCTTGTATGTTTACAAAGCTGCTGAGCTTTTGGAAGGTATTTATTAAGCAAACAGGGAGGCTCTCTCTAGGCAAAAAAGTGTATTCGTTCTCTCCTCCCTAAGTCATTAGTGGGAGTACCTAGCGCTGCTGTGCAGAGCCTCCGTGCCCAGAGGAGCCTGCTGGAGCTACCCAAGTAGGGTATCTCCATGGTTTGAAGCAGGAAAGAAATTACCAATCTAGAAAGTTGAACATACTGTGACCTTGTGCAATCCTTTAACTGACAGAACATTTTCAGCGGAGTTACCAATGCAGTCTCATTGGAGCTGTGTCCTCCCTCACTGGAAAAGAAATTCCTCTTTTAACTTCCTTCTAACACTAGGGATGTGACTCCCTCCTCCTTAGCTGTGGTATTACCAATGTAGGAAGATGCTGCGCTTCCCAGGAGCTTGGTTTGCAACAGTTCCTGGGCTCCTGTGTTCCCTTAGGCTCTGGCTGTGCTCACCAGCAGCCCTGGTCATGGCTCAGGACTGTGCTGCCCTGGATGCAGCACAGGGAGCACAGCGGTGTCAAATACTGTCACATCAGAGCAGGAGCACTTTATAGCTGCTGTGTGTTGATGTCAGTAACTTCAGGTGCACAGAAATGAACTGGACTTTGTCCAAGTGCTGCTCTCCTGCTCCATTTCGTGTAGGATTCTGTATCCCCCTGCTCTTTAAAAATTACAGGGCCCTTAGAAATGCAGGGCTTTTGTTCAAACAGGCAGTAAAATGTTGTCCCTGTGCGTTAGATCCCAGAGGGGACCTTTTCTATACAGTCTTGATTTGGTGGGAAGAACCCCCTCTGAATTAGCTGTAATCTGTAAAAGATAAAAAAACACTTTGTTCCGAGCAACAAGTTGTTTGTTTTGCTAGTCCTTCAGAACACAGAAGTGTTCCCCTTGCTGGGAGGTGATGGCTCAGGAGCTCATACAGACAGCTGTGTAAGTGCCATCAGATCATCCACCATTGCAGACCACAGGGGAAGGCTGACTTGTGCAGGTAGTCAAGAAGCACTGCAAGGGTGATGTCCAGAAATGGGCACGTGGGTAGCTGTGAGGGGAAAGGGCTCTGAAGCACAGGGAGCCTGAGGCTAGCAGGCTAGCTCACCTCCTGATGCAGACTGCTGCCATGCACATACAGTGGGGAAAGGACTTTGCTTCTGCCTTTAGTTGTTGGCAGAAAGTGGGTAGTAAAAACACTTAGCACTTCGGCAGAGCTTTGTATCTGCAAAGCACTTTACAGACATGAAGAAAAGAATCACCTCTGTCCCTGGCAGCGAGCTATTAGGAGATGTCTCTTTGAGACTGGGTGGAACTACTGGTGTCCTATCTGAGGGATGGTGAAGAGATAATGCAAGCTGAGAAAGGTGGATAACTTCCCTCTTAAGAACAAGTTGTTTCACTAGTGACCCGATGCTGAATGGCTCACAGTATTGCACTAGAAAGTCACTTCTGACCTGGATACCTCCCATATGTCCTGGAAAACAATCATGGTGTGACTGTTTCGTTCTCTGTGCCATTGGAACTGTGTCCTTAGGGAATGGGATGACCTTGCCCTGACCAGCTGTAGCAGGAGACAGCCTGGCATGCTGCATTCTTTTTTTGCTCTGTGCTCTGTGATTATTGGGCTTCTCTGAAAAGCCTGGAAATGCCTCATATTTGTGACCTGGCCTTGCCATAGACCAAGTCAAGGAGCAAAAGAGCCCTTCTGGTTAACGTTCTGACTGTATTGCATTATGGGTGATTCCTGTTTTTCCATTGCTCTGTTGACAAACAGATCTGTTCCCAGTCCTCACGAAAAGTCCTCACTGAGTAAATCCACATTCTTTGCATTATTCCTGCTTTCAGAGTCTGAGTGTCTTCATTCTTATCACTGCCGTGCTGCAGGAGCCTCTGGACAGGCTGGTCTCCTGTTCTGTCCTGGCAAAGTTGTAGACACATCCTAAATCTGTAGCTACATCACTCATTTGTACTGCATACTATTCTTGCTTTCTCTGCCCTCGTTCTGCTCTGAGACACAGCTGTCTTTGGAAACTTGAAGCTGCTTCTGATTTCTTAATCTCTCAGCTTCTGGGTCCTGCCCTTAAGCTTTGTGCCTCTTGGAGTTTGTGCCTTCCACTGATGTTTCAGTGGGATGTCCCACTGTGTGTGGAGGCAGTGCTGGGAGAGCGGTTCGTCGTGCAATAGCACATCCTCAAATCTTCTGTCAGATTTGCTGGTACAGGTGTGAAGCTAAGACCACTAATGTCCAGCCCTGGAACATCCCCCGCCCCTGTCCTGAAGGTGTTCACAGGATGCAAGCTATTTGTCATCTGTTTTTACAGCCACAGGCTGCCCTCCAACCCATGGAAGTGAGTTGAAGGAGGCCTCTTTGATAATATTACAGCGAGTTTTGATAATCGAGCCCTTTGCACGTAGTGCTGGCTGAATTAGGAGGCTCTTCTGCATGAATAGCAATTGCTCTTATTGTTTTAATCACAGCAGTACCAACAAAGCAGGGTCCTGCTGTGCGAGTATGCAGAAGTACTGAACAGAAAGGCAGCTCTTCCCCAGAGCCTCACATTATGCCCTGTCCTCCACAGAGCTTCACGTGCGTTTTCTGTAGAGCTGATGTTCCCTCATCTCTGTGCTCCCTATTCATGTTGCCAGGAGCTACCTCATTTCTTGGTTACCATCTCAGGATGATGGGGTGTCTTTGTGTGCATCCTGGGTAGCATTACCTAAAAAGCTGTCCCTGCAGATCTTGAGGTGACCCAAAACACGGGTGAATGGGATTCCTGATGCTGTGCATCGTCCCTGGATTCCTGTCCTGCTGCACTTCTGTGGCAGACAAAGCTATCAAGAAAGGTCATAAGTACTTCTGACACCAGGAGGCTCGGCAGATGCATCTCGGCATCTGTGGCTTTTGCTTACCTGGTTTTTGATCAATATTTCCAGTGTTCATTCATAATTTCTGCAACCTTTAAGAACTGTTCAAACCACACAGGAGTTTTCTGAGATGTTTTGCTTGCTACAGAGGACTGAGGTGGCAAAGCTGGTAGTGAGCGTAGACATATAAATCCAGGGATCCCTGCTTATTTGCTTTTAGGATGTTGTTAGCTGAAGATCCCAAGCAGGAGCAGGACTGAACTGCTGCTGTCAATGGACAAGGGCACCTGGAGGGGAAGAGCACCGAGGGTGTGTTCCTTGGGGACTGTGTGCTCCTTGGATATTCTCCTGCTATGGCAATCTCTCTTGGCACGTGGTCTCCAGCAGAGGAAACAGAACACAGCTGTTCTGTGTGAAGCCCACGGAACTGGGTGAACATGGTGCTGCTTGGGTTATTTGACTTTACCAGGTGTCTTTTTGATTTGTCGCTGCTCTAGGTTCAGTGATCCCAGCCTCAACGTGCTCTAAAGCTTCTTGTTTTTGATTAATACTGCTTCCCTCTTTTAGTCCCTGCTGCAGCCTGTTTTCAGGCTGGCTGATGAGATCTGTGCTGTTGATTTGTAAAATACTTCTTTTTCATATATTCTTCATGCACTTACCTCCTATTAATTGCTGCCAAATTGTGCGTGCCAGCATGTTTAGAGCTTTCCTTTCACAGCTGTTTCCCTACGGGGAGGACTGGGATAAGGCAGCTCAGTCTTTACCAGCCCCAAATCCACATTTTTTTGTCCCTTGTCATTGTATTGGCACCCTGCTGCTTGCCCCTTTCCTAGTATCCAGACAGGATGCACGTTACCCTGTCTATGCAAGCAGTGCCTGGGTTCCTCTGTGTGTTTTACAATTGAATAAATGTGTGTCTAGGTACAGAGAAACTTGCTGGGGTGTCTTTATCTGAGTTTATCTAGTGAGCTACAAGCTCCTGCTTGCTTCTGCTGGGCGTCATGTGCACACATGAGTGCTGCATACATTCACCAGTGCTGGCCATATCAAAATCTCCCAAGGACATTTAAGATCACTTCTAGCCCCAACAAACCCATCAGCTTTGCCATTTGCTTAATTATAGAATGATATAATTGGGTTGGAAGGGATCTTAACATCTAGTTCAGCCCTCTTGGTGAGGGAGCTTAAAAGCTCTTCCAGCTTTCCTCCCGTCTGTAGCATTGCACTTCTTTCTGCTTTAGACAGTTGAAGTCTGAGATCCCCTCCATGCAGTCACTTGTTTCTGATCCCTTCTTCTCTTTCAGTTCACCCCACCAAATGTGGATTTTTGCCGAGCTGTTTTTTAACTATTCTGCTGCCAACAGAACTCCTCTGCACTTTAGGAAGCCCACAGATGAACTGTGTGATCCTCTTTCTAGTTGACAAAGCTTAGGGTGGGTAAATTTTTGTTGGCTGAATTCTTCCTTGGTAGCTCTAGAGAAGTAATACGTTAAAGAAGTACAAAGAGGTGGAAGGAAAATGAGTAGAATAGCTGACACTTTGAACCTAGAAGCTCACATTTAGAAGACAGATTTGCTTCTTGGCAGGTGAGGTGTCAGTTTCAGAGCTGGATTTAGGTAAGAAGTGCATCTCTTGTGCCAAAGCTCCCCCTCACGGTGCTGCCGCATTGAGGAGGCTGTGCTCCATGTCGAAGGGGAAGTGTGAGAGGTGCCAGTGCTCAAGCGATACCCTTTCCCCCTTGCTAGAGCAGGAGTGAGCAGTGTTCCCTCCCAGGGGCAGTCCGTGCCCCTGGGAGGCCTGCAGTTCCAGCTCAGAGTAGGGCCTTTGCTGCCCAGCCAAGTGAGTCTTACACCTGGGAGAGGGGCAGAGCCCAGAACCAAACCTGTTTCACTTGTAAGATGTTGTTAGGATGGAGAACTGGTTTGCAGAGAAGGTCAGTAGCCTGCAGTCTGCTCTGCAGAGCAGCAGTGCTGCTGACTTGCTTGTGTGGCTGCCAAACTTCGACTCTTTTCTTCACCATCTCTCTACTGTATCTGTGCCTTCCCTAGCCTTCACTCTTTGTGTAGCATGGGTGGATGCTGCCAGCCTCAGCTTTGCCTGCTGCAGGCATTGCACATTGGATGTGTGAAACAGTTGAGGAGCGGTTCCTTGTAATTCATAGCACTTTGCACTCCTGAAAAGCACCAGGAAACTTACACTGCTGTCTACAAGCACTTAGCTATCTTGATGGTTGATTTTGCTTGTTTTCTTGTGCCTTCTGTTTTCCCTTGGCTTGATGTCCTGCTTGGGGTCAGGCATCTGCCGGCTTCCTCTTCTGCTCTGCATGGTTTCTTCTCTGGCTGTATGAATGGAGATGTGGCATGGCCAAGGACTGTGCTACAGGTACCCCTCTCTCTGGACTTGTCACGCTTCCCATTGTCCCCTGCACCCTCACATTGTCTCCAAGTGCCAACAGCAAAGCCTGGACAAGCAATGTTTTCTTTTCCCCACACTGCCCTTAATCTGTGGCCCCTCAGTTCTGGATCCTCCTCTTGGGCAAAACAAGTGTTTTCTGTGCAGTAGGAGGGGAAGGTTTCTCAGCATTTCTTTCCTTTGGTTTATGTGACCTCAAGTGTGTTTGGAAGTTCCTCTAAGCTCTATCCACGGGTAAATCTCCTCTGCTCAAGATCTGACCCGTTTTTGCAAGGACTGATGCTGAAAGGGACATAACACGTTCTGAGCTGCCCCGTGCAGTTCTGATTTTACTGACGTTCCCAGGCTGGTTCTGGAACAGCCATCTCCCAGAGGTGTCTCTCTTTGGAGATCTGGGCATTTTTGCAGCTCTCATTGCTCTGTATGAGTCCTGACCTCATCACCTCATTCTGTGCTTTGTTTTTCATTCATGGAAGCTCCCCACCCACCCAGCACATCCGTACGATGAAGGGACCTTTATCTGGCTCCTTATTCCTGCAAAACCATTAAACACAGCAGCACAGAAACAAGCATCTTTCTTTTTTGAAATGGGGATCCTACTGCCTTGCTTCCCATCCCTTTGTGCAGTTCTGATGGCTCAGAGTCGGAGGTACCCGGTGCACGTGGCAATACCGAAGCAAGGTGTATTTGCTAGCTCACTGCCACACACATTCCTGAGGTTTTCTCTCCTTTATCAGCATCCCCATAGTGCTCACTGGCCGCTGTCTGCTGGCCCAGGGGCAGCTGCTGAACCTGCAGCTTCCTAGCTTTCCTCCGCAGGCACTGCAGCGCTGGAGGTGATGTCCAGATAACGGTCTCAAGCTCGTTCCTGTCTCAGCGATAAACCTCGTGTCAGCACGGCGCCTGCACTCGTGGCGCGGTACGAGAGGAGCTCTTTACCCTCAAGCCCCCCTCTGTTAGCTCAGCTGTTGCTGCGCTGTCGTGCTGCGATGGCCACTTCTTACGCCTCTGCTCCGTCGCAGAGCCAGCTGAACCAGAGGAGCCATGGGAAGCTATTTCCCTTCTCCCCGTGTTGTTCAGTGCCAGCTGTGTTGCTGCAGTCCAGCTGCAGTCCAGCTGCGTGGCCTGTTTGTTGGTGGGGGCTCCACGCAGCGCGGCAGATGGTGACTTCTTTGCCTCCCCCTACCCTCTGTGTCAGCAGACGCCGATGCCTCTATGGAAAAAGTCACCTGTGTCACACCCGGTGACAGCTCATACTAGGGTGGCTATGAGTTTGCTCTTTGATCCCAGTTGCCTCTTTAGAGGTAATGCCTTTCATGCTCATGTGTAGAACGGCCCTTCTAGGGAGCTTTCTGCAGGACTCGGGGCACTTATGTATGCAGTCAGGGGGGAAAACAGCACAGGATCCTGTGTTCCCATGCTCAGCTGAGAGATCACTGCCTGTCCCAGCAATGCTGCCCTCTGGATCCCTGCTCCGAGCTGCCCCAGCATGAAGACTACAAGGAAACTAAAGCACTCTTCATGTGCCATTCTCACTTGACTTTTTGTACGTATGTATGAAAGTTCTAAACTAATATTGCTGTAAAGAAAGATACAGATTAATATAGCATATTATATAAAGATATATGTATATAATTTTTTTCCCTATATTGTATGGCACTGTATAAAATGAATGTCGAAGCATGACTGGTGTATGTGACTGTGCCCAAGCCTGACCTGGGGAATGACAGCTGTGATTTGCCTGAAGTTTTGTCCCAAAGGGTTGTGCATGAGTTTGGAAGCCTGCACTATGCTCTCTCATTGCAGTGGGTCGTGGTGTGAGGTGCTGCATCACTGTGGCTGCCTGGGGAACAATCCCAGTGCTGGTCTCCTTGCCAGCTCTGTCCCTTTTGGATCTCAGCCTTCAATGCAATGGGAGAAACATCCCTACAGAGCAAAGGACACTGCTTTGTGTAGGTTTATCAGGCAGGATATGAATGCCTGGTGCTGTTTATGGATGAATAATGCCGTAACCATGAATATTCTGGATGGAGGAAAGCAATAGAGGAGGAAGGAGAAATGAGGGAAGCTGGGGGAGCAGGGTCAGGACAGGAGCAGGAGCTTTCTGAGCAGCACTAGGAACGCAGGCTGGAAAAGGAAAGCCTGGAAGAAAATAATGCTGTTAATCACTGCACAGAATAGTTTCTGGGGTTGTTCCTGCAGAGACTGAGTACTGCCAGGGAGTTAAGAGCTGAGGGGTGGCTGAACTACTGAGTTCCTATAAAAAAGCCCATAAAAAGTGCTGGTATGTTTAAATGCCTGCCTGACGCTTTGGTTTGGCTTTGTTTTGTTTTCCTACCCATAACTATCAGCTAGTCTCATAAAAAGATATTACTTCTATAAACACTTCCTCTCTCAGAGAGAGAAAACCATTAAACTCTGGATCCTACCCTTGTGTAAACACAAAATAATCCATGCTGTGGAGGGACTGTTCCAATACAGTTGCTAAGGAGGAAGCTTATGAATGCAATCCCAGCAGGCACTGTGGATGTCGCTTTGAGACCTGTTTCACTGTTGAAAGCCCTAGCAGGGATGGAGCTGCTATTCCCAAGACCACCCTCTGGCTATTTGGTACGATGGTGGCTATAGGAGGGATTTAGCAAGGATAGTTTTTCAGCTCCTTGGCCATAAAGTACCACAGCAGAGGGTGCTGTGCTTGTGCTGGCAGTGCTGCAGGCACCCTCAGGGCTGGAGTAGTGCTGCCTGCCTGCTCCTAGGGCTCGCTGCACAGCTGGCCATACAAACAGCCACGCTGCTGGAAGATCTCGAGCTCCGTAGGGTGAAGCTTGAGATGCGAGTGCAGCAGGAGCTCCTTTTCTGCCTGCTCAGCAGGCTTCTTGTGCTTCTGCTCGTGGCCATCCTGAACCCAGCACTGCTGGCTCCGGTGCTGCTGGCTGCAGCCATGAAAGCTCCCCCAGAATGCGTGTCCCTCGCTGGCGACCTTCCTTTATCCTTTTAATCAATGGTGGTGTTCTCTCCATCTTGGGAACAAACCTCTCGTAGTTAATGGATAACCAGGGAGAGATTTATCAGCATCGTTCTCTTGCCAAGAGGAGATAACCGAGCGAGCCCGCAGTGCCCTGCTTCCGCCTGCAGCAGCTGCCTTGGGTGTGGATGGGGCATCCAACAAGGGCGAGCCCGCATCCTCCGCCGCCTCCCTGCCTGCTGTCTGATTCTGGAGGAGGCACGCAGCCTCAGCACGGGGCTCTCAGAATAGAGAGGCTCGTGAGGATGGAGCTTGCTCGATCCACCTGCACTGCCTTTGTGGTGTGCTGGTCCCACACCTGGGAGAGCAAGGCACCCGTGGGATGCGTTCCTGTATGGCTGGCTGTTGTTGAAATAAGCCAAGTAGGTCTCCTGCAGCTGTGTGATGTGGGATATCTGGCCCCCAAAGCATTGGTACTGTGGCTGTCTTTCCACCTGGTTTTGCGGCTCTCCTGGGAATCGAGGCTCTTCACCAAGCATTTCTTCCATCCTTCGAGCCCCTTGGAGCCCCGCTTTGTCTAGAAACTGGCAGGAGTTGCATAATGCATGAGTGAGAGGCAGCCCAAGCAAGCAGAGTTTTGTTCAGGTGGCTGCACTGCTTTCATTCTGAAATGCCTTCGTTTGGCACAGCTGGCAGGAGGATCCCAGAAAAACCATGCTTGCTGAGGGGGGAGAAATTGCAGCAGCATTTGAGGCAAAGAGAAGTTGTAATGCAAAGCAGAAAGCTGTCGCGCAGCCTGGGGACCCACAAAGAGGAGAGAATGCAGCATCTGCAGGAGGATGAGGCTGTTCCCAGCAGGCAGGCAGGGAGCAATCTAGGATGTACCTTACACATCTGTGATAACCCTATCAGCAGTGTTGAAGCTGGCGTGGCCAATGACCCCAGAGTGAATGACTCTCCTTTGTACCGTGCTGATGAATATCCCAGCAGCATCCTCTCTGCTCCTGCTCACTTGTCACCACGAAGGGTCTGAGGTTTTGGAGACCAAAAAGTCCCACCTGTGTTTGAGAACACGGGGTGAGGGGTGGGGGGCACTGAGTTGTATTTTGGGTTTCAGCTGAACTTTGGAATTTAGTGCTGGAGGGAGCTAAAGCCGCACCTTCCATGAGTAATATCCTTCCACCCCCTCCTTGGCTCATGCGGCCAACCAGCCCTGTGGCATAGAGAGAGTAGAGTGTGCAGAGAGGGTGAGCTGAAGGAAGGGAGAAAGGGATTCTGCATATCCCAGCGAAGGAGTGAGGGCTGCCCGGAGAAGCTAGGGCTGCCTCATCCGTGCGTGAGATGGCCAGGCTGGATGGGGCAGCCTGATCTGAGCCCTAAGGCAGGGGTTGAGGCTGGAGGGGCTTTGGGTCCCTTCCGACCCAATCAGTCCGTGGTCTTTAAAGACCTTTGGGGTCCCTTCCAACCCAACCGTTCTGTGATCTTTGACATCCCTTTCATTAGCTCCAGGAATGAGACTGGGATGAGAGCAGTCATTCCCACACTCTTGAGTCCAGTGGGGTTGTTTGTTGGGGTCAGGAGCCTCAATTCTGGGCTCTATCACCTGTTGCAAGCCTTGGGCTCTACACTGAATGCAAATTTCCACAGAGCAAACATTTTGCTTCCTTCCCACGCAGCCCGTACCCAAAGCTGGTGGGGGGGGGGGGTGAGGAACAAGGGCTGCGGGGCAGCAGAGAATAACAATTGTCTTAAGGGAAAGAGGCAGAGAGGAGAAAAAAAGGGCTGTTGAGCTCTTTCTTTCCATCCCTGAAATAATAGACCCATTACTGTCCCCAAACCTCAGCCCCCCTCCCCTCCCCGGAGAAGAATTGGTCACTGCACAGCTGTGCGAGCGAGAAAAATATATTTATATATATCAGAGAATCTGCCCTTCTGAATTGGTGCGCGGGGTCGGACAAAACCTCATTGTGCGCTTTATCTGCCCCGCACAGAATGGCCCCACAGTCTCGGGCTGGCAGGGGCTCGCCTTTTGGTGAACTGCGGTCGGATCGCTGTGACTTCTTTTAGATACCGTCCCGTTATGAGGGGGCGGGGGGGGAAAAGGCCAGAAAACACCGCCGACCCGCAAAACACCGCCGACCCGACCCTCGTCCTCCGCCCGCCGGGCCGCGGCGAGCATCGGCCGGGAGCGGCGCGGAGCCGCG